AGCCCCCGCCCGTGCCCGAGCCGTCCCTGGCCATCTCCGCCGCCGCGCCCCGGGCGCCGGAGCTCGCGACCCCGGAGGGCATCGCGCTGGTCCTGGAGGTGCTGACGGAGTCGGGGGCGCGCCGCGCCCCCGACGCGGCCCTGGACGTGGTTGCGCGGCTGGAAAGCACGGCGCTGGAGCCCAGCTGCCCGCCCGCCCTGCTCCTGGTGGGCTGGGAGACGGCGCTGCTGGGCTGCGCCGCCGCGGTGTGCCGGGGTGGGCCCGGCGCCGCCACCGCCGCGGCGCCCTGGTTTGAAGCGGCGCCGGGCGACAACGCGGCGCGCGGGCCGACCTTCTCCGTCTGCTGGATGACGGCAGAGGCGCGGACGTGCAACGCCTTCCCCAAGCTGCTGCGCGCGGCGCAGGAGCTGTCGCGGCGCCTGGAGCGTGCGGCGCCGGGGGTCTGGGCGGCGCCCCGTGATGGGACGGCCACGGGAGCTGGCGGATTGGGCGCCGAGGATGCGGGCGCTCCCAGCCTGCTCGCCCGCCTGCGCCAACGCCTGCACCGCCGCCTGCTGTGCTCGCTGGCGTGCGGCGAGGGGGAGGAGGGCCTGTCCCCCAGCGAGCACGCCGCGCTTGCCGCGGGCACGGCCGCCCTGGCCCGCTGCCAGGGCTCCGTGCAGGCGGGTGGACGAGGGGGAAGGGGCGGGGAAGGGAGGGGGGCCATGCGTGCTTGCCTGGGGGCAGCGTGAGACGAGGGGGCGGTGGGGTCCAGAAAGGTAGCACAACAGTCTGTGCTGAACCTCACCTCGTCACACCAACATAAGGCTCACCAACAGGCTCTCCTCCACATGAAATCCACCCACAGGCGCTGCGCTGCCTGGTCCTGGACCTGCTCTGCCTGCTGGACGGCAGGGGGCCAGCCGGGGGCAGGGCCCGCGCCCTGCTCCCGCCCCTCACTGCGGCCCTGGACGTGTGGCCGGCGGCGCTGGCCCCGCAGTCTGCCGACCCGTTGGGCGACCGCGTCCTGGCCGGCCTGAGGGCGCTGCTGCGCGCGGCGCACAGCCACCCCGGCCCGCCCAGTACGTCCCTGCTGCAGACGCCGGGCCTGGAGGCCGCGGCGCGGGAGGGGCTGCTCGCACTGGGCCGTGCGCACTGGGGCTGGGCCGGGTGTGGCGAGGGTGGAGGGGCCGCGACCACCGAAGAGAATGGGCAACCAGACGACGACTCGGACCCAGGCGTGGACGAGGATCTGGCGCCTGTGTCGGCGGTCCTGACTGACTGGCTGGCGGGTGGCGATAAACCGAGTCCAATCCCCGCCAGCAATGACTCGGACACTCCTGTATGACGTTGACACGCTCGTGCCCATTTGCACACCGCCCCTTGTGGCAATGGCAACACATGAATATCCCCCTCCACACAATCTTTTTGTCTTTGGCGCTCACCTCACCCTCTGATCCACTCAGCTTCCTGTGCTGAAGACGTGTAATACAGAAAGACCCCAAGGACGTAGGAGTTGGCCCTCATGCCAGGTGAGGGCTGCGTAGAATATCAAGATGCACACTGCAGAAGGAGAGGCAATTGCATGGTGAACCCGACCAAGCGCTGGGGACAGGTCACACACAGCTCACGTACCTCCGGGAGGAAGGAAGGTGTCTTCAGAATGCGTCAACAATATTACCTAGTCTAAACTCACCGCCGTGCAGATTCATGCAACATAATGCTGCCACCATCTCCCAATTGCCCTTGCCTTCAATCCCGCAACCTCGAACCTTCTTCCTTTTACAAGGCTTGCTGTACTCTGAAGGCAAAACGTGGACAAGCTCGTGTACCGCAACACTTCAAAAAGGGGTTTGAATCTGGCAGAGGATTGCCCGTGCGTGGGAACCACGCAGGTGGGAATCGACTCAAGAGGGAGGAGCGGGGGGCACAGACTGTCATCATAAAAATAAGGACACCTCTGGAGGGATTGCGCGGGAGGGGGCGATGATGTCAAGGCCAAAATGGGAAGGATTCTTCTGTGGGTGTGAAGCTCCACAGCAGGGATCTGGGGGTTTAGAGGGACGATTTCTGGTTTGGGAAAGCTACAAGCATGAGGTTCTCAACGAGTGTCCGAGGGAGGGGCCGGGGCGTCGACCCTCACAGCAGCCCCGCTGACACCTATGCCGAAGAGGCGGAGGCGCCTTGAGCCTGTGTCGCCCCGGGAGCGGCGTGGGCGCTCTGCAGCACGCTGCTTCACTCCTTGCTGCCGAGCTCGGGGTCGTCGACGCGGCGGCGGGTTCCGAAGGTGCCAGCCTTGATCTTGTTGATGGGCGCGAAGGGCACGATGGGCAGGATGACGCGGCCGTACAGCTCCTCCATCAGGGTGGCCACGGCCAGGTACCAGGCGATGGCGGAGACGATGAAGCCCCAGACGCCGGCAAACTTCATCAGGTTGTGATTGGTCTGTCCGCCGGCCAGGAAGAAGAAGAGCAGGGCCAGGGAGAGGAAGAGGGAGGACAGGGCCAGGTTGGAACTGAAGGTGCACAGCCACAGGAGGAAGGTGTAGATGCCCCAGAGAGACAGCTGTGGGGGGGAGGTTGAGGGCGGGGATCGTGAGAATGATGTTGCGACGAGAGGTTGGTGCAGCAGGACCATTGACAATGGATGCCGAGGTGGCCAGCCACATCCGACAGGATGTATGGGTGCGAAAACACCCGACCACCAACAGTCTGCCCCATCGGCACACCCCCAAACCCAATCAACTCACCATCATCTCTTCTCCCTTTACAGAGGTGGGGTAGACACCAGCCGCGACGAGGGTTCCGTTCAGGGCGACGGCCATCCAGAAGCCGCCATAGGAGACGAAGGCGACGGTGGCAAACGTGTTCTTGCGAGAGTACTCCAGCACGCCGGCAATCAGCTGGCACAGGCCACCGAAGAAGAAGCCAAAGGCTGCACGAGGAGTGAGCAGAGACTGGCGATGAGGGGTCGGAAGACGCTCGGAAGCGGTTGACAGCTTGGCGAGTATCAATCCCTGCGAGCTCCTTCACCCCAGCACTCACAGTAGACGAGGCCCACAGAGCCCTTGTCGACCACAGTGGAGTTGATGCCTTGCAGGAGGGCGGTCTGTAGCATTGCAGGGGGGTAATGTGTGAGAATAAGAGTATGCATGGAGTCAATTGTCCATCAAAAATGCTCAAGAACAGCAGGTTAAGCCCAGGACACCATGCCCACTGCTCACTGTGAGGCCGAAAGCGAACAGTCCAAGGGGACCTGCGAGGATTATGAAATGGGTGCAGCACGTCAGTACAAAGATGCTCCTCAAGATGTGCAATCTGAAGGTGCGAAGGCAAATTCAATGGAACCAAAGATGCGAATGCTATCCATGCCCATCTTCGACTGGAAGTGAGAGCGCAACTGTCCCGACATTGTGCAGGTCATAATATCAACGGAGGTTGCACCTTAACGCAGAGATACTGCCTGGCACGGGGACTCACCGGGGTTGCTGGTGGCTGGGATGGTCTTCACGCCATCATCAGTCAGGGTTGCCAGGCGGGCCTCAAGAGCGACGATGGTGCGCTCGAGACGAGCGGTGGATGCGTCGGCCATTTCGAAGTGTCGACTGATCAGGAAGGCTCGCACACGATGTCCAAAGGGCCGATCTCGGGGTCGATGGGGAGTAAAATGGGATACAAACGTTGCAGTGATTGGTATGAGCGATGTATGTGCTTCGCACCCGGCAATGTGCGCGCCTTTGTAGGAGTTCGTTGAGGTTGACAAACATCAGTACAACGCGGCCCGAATTACTCAAAGAAAGTGCGGAGAATGGTCCAAGCTGACAATGAAAAACGCTGACTTGGCACCGGCTCCGGATACGTGAGCATCGGCAAACGCATTCTGCGTTTACCAGCGTCATTCTCATGGGACCCCTGAGAATTTTTGCTGGAGGAACATGGGTTCGTGGGAGCAGGATGGGCGAGGAACTCCGCGCGGCTGAGTGTGGGCTTCACGCAACTCGCGACGACGTGACGGGTGTCCTGATTCTCTTTCGGTCAGCGGACCACTTTCTGCATAGCTCCATCCATGGAGCTCAATAAATCTCTGACATGGTGTTCGTAGAGGTAACGATGACTTATATGTCCGGTGACCTCAACATAGGTTTCTCGTCTCGCTGAGCTCTCGCGAAAATGGCTAGGGTTTCAAGGTGCCGGTCCTTGCACTGCACATCGTATAAGCAAGACGAGCTCGAATGTGACGCCAAAACGGTATCATTTAGATTTCAATTACAGCGCGTAAGGTATCTAATTACCATAATTGATGCACCCAGGTGTACATGGATCCAGATCACTTCCGCACACCCCCTCGGCCAGAGGGGCTGGGCCTCTCTGCTGCCTCGTTATCCTTGGCTGATTACCGGGTCGGGGGGGGGGGTCCCTAGATCCATCTTCAAGTTGCTGTGTATGCGCACAACTGATCAAGGGAAACTACTTACCAAGTGCAAATAAAGCTCATATCAATGTGGCGATGCCTCTTCCTCGCATGTTGTGGTGGATGGTTTCTGTGGAAGGTGAAGGAGCGGCTGAACGCCCGTCCTCCTGAGATGAACAGCCCTTAAATTGAACTCACCTGTAGAGAACTTTTCACGGCACTCATGCTTTGGCTCGTGCAAACACCTGCCCTCAAAGGCAAGCACATCATCACCTGTGAGGCTTTTATCGTGCTAATTGAGGTCGCGACAAACCAGGTGCCTGCAGCAAGTGTTGTCAGCCCCAGTAATGTGGAGGTGGCTTTGAAGAGCGCATCCCCAAGCCCCATGCTCTCGGTTCGCAGGGTCTGGACAGGGTGCCCGGTGCTTCCCCCGGGATCTGCACTGCCTGCGACAGGATGTGAAAACTCAAGATTGTTTATGTATATATGCGACATTTCAACCATCACTCCAAGCGACGGTTGGCTCAGCACCTGAACGGACTGAACGGCTCCTCAGACCTCCGCTGCCAGGCGTCGTCAGTGTGAGCAGTCAGGCCACCAGAACGCACAGATATCCACTCCTCAGATCTTTAAAGGGCTTATATATCCTACAGTATACCAGGTTGGCTGGGGTGCACGCTGATCGCCCTCCTTGTCGGTCACGATGACCTGTTGCCTTCGGGAAGCGCGCCAGCCTGGCAATCGCCGAAATAGACATATGGTCACCACCTCGGCCCCATGCGCCGTGACTATCCCTGCAGCCCCTCGCGGCCCACCACCTGATTACAATGGAGAACGTCCGTAACATAAAGATGCCTGCGGGTGGGGGTGGCTCCCGCTTGGCATCGTTGCTTGTGGTCGGTGGCGCGGCGGTCTATGGCATCGCCAACAGCCTGTTCAACGTCGAGGGTGGTCACAGGTATGGTTTAGTGGCGTTTCACCAACCATGCATCGGCCGTGGCGTGTCCCAGGCCCAACCCCATGGCTTGCTGCTGCTGGATGCCGGAAGCACTCTCTCCCGCCCAATGCGCAGGGCCATCGTGTTCAACCGCATCGGCGGTCTGAGTGACGAGGTGAAGCCGGAAGGGACGCATCTCATGCTCCCCTGGTTCCAGCGCCCCATCATCTTCGACGTGCGTGCCCGACCCAACGTCATCACCTCCACCTCCGGCTCCCGCGACCTCCAGATGGTGCGCGATTGCGTCCTCCATCGTGTCATTTCACTGAGCATGCTTCTGTTGGTGTCGGCCGCATGCTGCGGCCCAGCCGGAGGGAGTCGCCAGCAGAATGCAACTCCCCAAGCTTGTTTCCCTTCCTGCAACCCACACAATCTGCAGGTCAACATCGGCCTGCGTGTGCTCACCCGGCCCATGCCCGAGAAGCTGCCGGAGATCTACCGCACGCTGGGCACCGACTACGCGGAGCGCGTGCTGCCCAGCATCATCCAGGAGACGCTCAAGTCGGTGATCGCGCAGTACAATGCCTCCCAGCTGCTCACCATGCGCGAGGTGGTATCGCGCGACATCCGCCGCATCCTCACCCAGCGCGCGCGCTACTTCAACATCGTGCTGGACGACGTGAGCATCACCAACCTCACCTTCTCCCGCGAGTACACCTCCGCCGTGGAGGCCAAGCAGGTGGCGCAGCAGGACGCGGAGAAGGCCAAGTTCATCGTGAGTCTTTCCTTGGAGGGATGGGGGGTGGGGGGTAAAGGGTAAGGGGTCGATGATGAAGTTTGAGAGGGGGAAGTTGCTGCACCAGGGCCGTCTGCAGTGGGGGCCTGGCCAGCAGTAGCGCTGCGTGACATCACGTGAGGGGAGGAGGGGGAATGACCGGCATGCCCTATGCCCATCGTGAACTGATCGGCAATCTCCAGCCCTAGCTTGCCGCTGCTGCCGACTCTCCCAAGGTCGTTGCTACTTCCACCCACCCCGCTCTTCTCCCTTTCCAATCACCAGGTGGACAAGGCGCAGCAGGACAAGCAGTCGGCCATCATCCGGGCGCAGGGAGAGGCGCAGTCCGCCACGCTCATCGGCCAGGCCATCAAGGACAACCCCTCCTTCATCACTCTGAGGTGGGTGTAGGGGAGTGTTATGGCAGAGTGGGGGAGTGCGTGCAGGATGGATTTAGGGCAGTGGCTGCCAGTAGAGTGGCGGCGTCCAGAGTGATCAAATGTTGCTTAGCAAGCACCCACCCATCCATCCCCACACCCTGTAACATCGTGCAGGAAGATCGAGGCCGCGCGCGAGATCGCCGGCACGGTGGCCTCCTCCGCCAACCGCGTGTACCTCAGCTCCGAGTCCCTGCTGCTCAACATGTCTGAGCTGGACGTTAGCAACAAGAAGAAGTGAGGTGGTCTTCAGCAACGGAGCGGGTGGCGGGGGACCCGCCGCGCTCTCAGATTCAGCTCGTAGGCCCCAGGAGCGACTTGCCGAACTCCAGACGCCCAGCTTCTCTGCAGAGCAACGGACCCTACTCGCACCCTGAGCAGGCGGAGTTCCCCTATAGCGGGCGTTCGTGGGCATTCCTGCTCCTATCCCCCCTGCTGCCTTTCCCTTGTTGCGTGTCCTGTTGTCACCAGACCTGCCGCCGCCTTGCTGACCAAAGTGTCAGTAAGCAGTGTCTGGTACTGACCTTGCTTCCGAGTCAGGGCCCAGGGATTGCCACAGGGTGGGCCTCTGCTGCAGGCAGCTCCAAACCCCTGCGCTCGCCCTGCCCCTGTTGCCCCCAGCGCTGTCTTGAGCCCGGTGGCACACCATGGGGGTTTCTCTTACAGGCACAGACTGCATCGGACTGCCGGCAGCACTCACTCCTGGAGCATGTGCTCGGAGTCCACGTTCTCGCCGCTGTCCACCTGGGGCACGCCGCCGCCCTTTCCACCGCCACCGCCGCGCTTCTTCAGCCCGCTCACGATGTCGTCGATGCGCAGGAGGAGGGTGGCCGCCTCCACTGCCGTCTTCAGCGTCTGGGCCTTGACCTCGTACGGCTCCCAGACACCCAGCTCCCGCATGTCCTCCACCTTGCCGGTGTTTCCTGTCGGGGTGAGGGCGAAAGTGTTGGTGTTTTTAAGTATGCAGGAATGCAGGTGACGGGCAAGCTTCATTCTCATCTGCTGGCAGCTTGAGGCCCTGGCCACCCCCCACCAATCCTCAACCCAACCCCTGTTCGGAGAAGCCGCCGCCCTCACCATTAATGCCGAAGCTGCTGCTCTTCTCGGCGTGGGCGGCGCGCAGCTTGCTGATGGTGCGGATGACGTTGGCCCCGCAGTTGGAGGCCAGGGTCCGGGGGATGACCTCCAGCGCCGCGCCCACCGCGCGGTAGGCCGCCTGCTCATTTCCCAGCACGCCGCCGGCAGTGGACAGCTCCGCCAGGCCGTGGCTCACCGCCATCTCCACCGCGCCGCCGCCGGGGACGAGCCGCGGATCCAGCACCACGTTCCTGGGGGGGTCACAGCAAGGCGTCTTGGTGTGTGTGTGGGGGGGGGAGCAGGGGAGGTGCAGCACACGGCATCTCCAGCGCAGCACAGGCCAAGGCCGAGCTAGCGGCCGGACAAGAATTGTTTTCCTGTTGGGGAACGAGCCGCACATCGCGCGATGCGCGCTGGGCGCTGCGCGATGTGCGGCCAGAGGACCGGCTTGCTCCCCCAAGGCAACCCCCTCCCCATCAAGACCGGATGCCATCGCAGACCTGGCGACGCCCATGGCGTCGTGCAGATTCCGCTCCACCTCGTTCAGCACGTCCTTGGAGGCGCCGCGTAGGACGATGGAGCAGGCCTTGGGGTCCTGTGGACACGGGGAGGGCGGGTGTGTTGCGGTCACGGCCATGTGCGATGGATTCTGGCACAGGGCCTGTGCAGCGCCTGCTGCACTGGCGCAGCGGCCGGCTCAGGGGCCCGGCCTCGGAGCGCGGTCGTGCCAGCAGAGCCTCTTTCTGTACACCCCTCCCGTCGAGTACATGGCGCTCATTCCCTGCTACCCGAAGCTTTGCGCTTGTGTGGCAGCGAGGCCGTGGTCAGACTCTTTCACCCCAAAACGTACACGCCTCCAGCCCAGCACAGAACTCAGACACCAGCACACCTCGCAGTCGACAATGAATGTCCAGAACTCGTCGCCGATCTTGCGGACCTCGAACAGGCCGGCCCCCGTGCCGATGTCGCGCTCGGTGGCCTCGTCGGGGCGAGACACGATGGTGGCCCCCGCCGCTCGCGCGATGCGGTTGTTGTCCGTCTTGCGCAGGCGGCGGATGGCGGAGATGCCGGCCTTGGTCAGGTAGTGCGCCGCCAGGTCTGACAGCCCCTTCTCCGTGATGACCAGGTCGGGCTTCAGCGCCGCGATCTGCGCGCACGTGCGCGCCACCCAGTCCTCCTCCAGCTTGAGTAGGGCGGCCCTGTGGATGAGAAAGGGAGAGGGTGGAGGGGGGGGTCCCGTGTGCGTGGGGTTGGCTGGGACGAAGGGCACGGTGGGCAAGCCGAAAGAGGGAGGCACGAAGGGGGGCAGCAGCCAAAGAGAGGCTGAGAATGATCCACGGCAATCACCACTCCCCCCTCTCCCTGCTCCATGCTGGCCCGCAGCAGCACAGCTCCCGGCCCCCTCATACCAGTCTTCCTCCTTGGCCAGCTCCACGTTGGTCTGGTTCTCGCCCTTCTTGTACTCCAGCGGGCAATCGAGGAGGAGGATGCGGGGGTTGGCGATCTTGCGGCGCATGCGCCCGGGCACCACCACGTCCTTCTCGAACATGACGCCACGCAGAACGCGCGAGTCCTCCAGGGAAGCGCCGGGGATCTTCTCAACCTTGGAGTACGTAAGGGGGGTGTGATCGAGGGCGGTGTGTGTGTGTGTGGGTGGGTGCGATTGCTATGGCAGGGATCGACACCCACTCGCACAAATGAGCACAAGCTGAAAACACCTGCATGGGAGCGAGCCGCCTACGCACTGTCTGCCACCCTGTGGGTGTCTCAACCCCCTCCCTCCTGGATTCCCGCCCCTCCACAGTTGCACCCACCTTGGCCCACTTCTTCAGGTCGATCTCGGGCGTGCCGCCGGGCACGTCCACCTTGACCAGCTGCACGGCATCCAGCGCCAGGTCCTTGGAGTGGAGGAAGGAATAAAGGGAGGAGAAGTTGGACGCAAGGATGTGGTCCTATTTTAAGGTGTCAAGAGGTCCGTGGCATCGCTTCAACAGCCCCCTTCACCCTGGGACAGCAGGCATGGTGGCGGTCCACGCACACACCAGTATATTGGTGAGCAATGCCTGCACAGAGTCCAGAACATCATTCCATAGCGTCCCTGTCACAGACACACGCACACACACTCCCTCCCCAAAACCAAAAAGAGGCAGAGCTCCTCCCCCCTTCCACGCCTCACCGCCACCAGATTGCCCAGGCGCTGTGTGAATTTGGTGCCGATGCAGGAGTTGACAATCTTCAGCATCTGGTCCCGGTCCTGGACGTCGATGGGGAAGGCCGCGGCATCTACGAGGCGCAGCGCGTCCTCCAGCGCGCGCATGTAGGCGCGGATGATCACGGTGGGGTGCAGGTTGCGCTCCAGGAAGGGCTCCGCGGCGGCCAGCATCTCCCCCGCCAGGATGATGACGGAGGTGGTGCCATCGCCCACCGCCTCGTCCTGCGTCCGGCTGAGCTCGATGATGGACTTGGCCGCGGGGTGGGACACGTCAATCTCGCGCAGGATGGCGTTGCCGTCGTTGGTCAGCACGATGCCGCCGTTGGCATCCAGCAGCATCTTCAGCATCGCACGTGGGCCAAGCGTCGTGCGCACGATGTCGGCCACGGCCTGTGGAGTAGGAAAGAAGGAGTGGATGGAGATTCATTCGAGGAGTGAGCGACTGAGTGTGGGTGTGGGGGGATTGGTCTTTGGGAGGAACATCCAAGGCAGAAAGGGGTGGGTAGCCGAATTGCACACTGGTGCGGCCAAAGTCACACCAACTATGGCGCAGGTGAGCCATCTGGGGTCAATGATCACATACACCCCACTCAGTCATGCGACAATGGATGCTGGGCAGCCACGGTGCGAGCCTCGAGCAAGCAATGACATTGGCCGGTATAAGCCATTCCCCTTCCACGGTGCGGCGCGAGCGGGGGCACCAGAAGCTGGTCCACAATCACATCGCCTAGCATACCCCAAAGAGACCAATAATTACACCCACGAGATCACCTTGGCGGCCAAGATGTTGCCATACTGCGCCTTCTTGCCGGTGTCGCGCCGTGTGTTGGTCTGCAGCACGGTCACCGGTGCCTGCATCATCGTGGGCCTGAGGCTGCGATCGCCTCACTTCCCGTGTTTGGCACGCAGGTCCGGGGTGTGTGGTGCAGCGGGCTGACTTGAGGGCCTGCTGAAACTTGGTGGGTCCTCGTGCAGGGGCGGTGATCAAGCGCTGACTCGGCGTGCGGGAGGGGGTGCTTTAGCCTGTGGCGACTCCCAGTGGTCTCCCTAGTAATCAGAGTATCGATGGAATGTTCAAGAGCGGTCTTCACCCTCCAGCCTGATCGAGCGTCCCTTCAAGCGTAGCCTCCTTCCCGCCACGCCACCTCCGCAATGGGTTTGGTTCTTGCGGATTCCCAGTTCCTACCGATTCTCGACTGCAGAAAATTGTGGATTCTGCTGGGCTCAACCTATCTACAAGCTGTAATGCACCATTTATGAACCATCTGATACAGTAAGAGTGATCATGCGGTGCTTCCAGGACCTTTCGGCGACGACGTCGCGCTCTCGCAACCAAGGCCTGTGCGGGAGTCTCCAATCCGGTGCATTCACGAGCATCAGACCACCCAGATACTCAGGAACCGCCTTGAGACATGCCTCATCATGCCCCAGACAGCAGGTGAAATGGAGGGGCACGGACGACATGGTCGTGCATGTTCCAGATTCTGCCCACATCCATGCATGGACACCGGCCCGGCCATTTCACCTACCCGCAGACGGTGTGCGCATCCATCGGTGGATCGGCACGCACGGCATTAGCCGCGACGCTCATGGCGCTCTCCATCCATTCTGGGGCGCCCGCCTGGGCCGAGCTCGCCACTGTTCCCCCAGAGACGGCCCTGCAGGCAGCGAGGCCGCTGCCGCAGCAGCCTATTGACAAGGGCCGAATCTGGTTTGTGCTCATAGTCGGTGCATCCGCGCTCTTTGGGGCGACCGTGCTCCTCGAGAACAGGGCTGCCTGGTTCCCAGCCATCGCCAAGGCCAACCAAGCCATGAAGAGTGCCGCGACGGCAAGCAGTCGGAATGGGGAGGTGAGAGTATGCCTGGGCTGGGGATCTGAACTGTGCAAGCTTCCACCGTGGTCAGTGCAATGGCTTCATCGAATGTCACCCTGTCTTCTTATTGCCAAGTCTGTTGACCCCTGATTCGCAGGCATTGCCTCAGGAGGGGCCTGAGGGTGCGTCGCCGGTACCCCTGGACCGGTCTGGGCATGAGGCCGGTGCAATCACTGGAGCTGCAGGGGGTGAGGGAGAACCATTGGATACGGCAGTGCTCGAGGGTCTGCGTGAGGGTCGGCAAAAGGCCCTGCGCGGCAGCGAGGAGACTGTGGCGGACGCGGCCGACCGATGAGGAGGGGCGGCATCGCGCCTTCTTAAGGTGGCAGGGGTCTCGTGCGACATCGCATTGTGCCCGCCGGACTCCTCCAGGGGTCCACACCTGGAGCTTCCTCCCTGCGGTGTCCCAGCCCACTGCATCTCAGAGCCCATGGCCTTGTGCTGGTTGTGCTGACGGATTTTCAGGGTCTGACTTGGTGCCCTGTTTCGCCGCTGCGACCAAGAAATTGTTCAAGAGACAGGCACTCCACACTGCAGAGTACAAGGCAGCAAATTCATTGCTCCGCAACCCGACTCAGGTGCAGGATGCCCAGCGCGACTGCCCCCCCCGCCACCAGTAGGGCTGCTGCCAGGAAGCTCCAACTCGTGAGAACTGGGGCAGCCGCGGGTGGAGGCGCGGGGGCTGCGGCTGCTGGCGCCGACGCAGGCCCCGCCGGCCCCTCTGCCGCATCCTGTTCCGGGGGTCTGCAACCCCCCCCCATTCCCGGAGGGGGGGCAGCGCGCTGGGCCTCCTCGTGCCTCGCCACCCAGTGGGGGAAGAGCTTGCGGAAGGTAGGGCTGCGCACATTGAACGCCAGGGACTGGGCCGCCAGGGCCGCCTTCTCTGCGGGCGTGGAGGTCACCACGCCTGTGCTGTTGGCGGAGTCGTACATGAAGGAGAGCAGGCCGGTCAGGATGGTGCCTACCGACCACATTGGATTCCAGCTCTCCGGGTGGAAGTCGGTCTGCGGGGATGGGAGGAGTTTTGGAGGGTACAGGTCTGTGCACTGGTCCAGACACTGTCACAATCTGAGCTGCTGGTTGGTTGTTTCTCGTCCACCCGGGGGTCGCCAGCTAGAACGCACACTGCGGCTCATTGCTGGATTTCGCCTAGAAAACGTGGGCTGCATTGATGACCCCATCATACCCCACAGGAGGATACAAGTGGCACCACTGGCTCACCATGCTCATGCACAGCTTGGTGTTGGTCGCAAACCTGGTATTGGGATGAAAATTACAGGACAAGGATTGGCTTGAGAGGTAGCATGATTCTGATACAATTAAACATGTTTGAAAGCCAAGGTGTCCCATGTACATTTGCACCAAAGCAGGCCGACGAACGCTTGCACAGCTTCCCGTGACCATTACCAATCCCCAAACCAGCGTGCCTGCCGTTTGGGGTGAACATCAGGATCGAGGGCGGCTTGTATGGGTAGGAAGAGGGGAAGGTGATCTTTCCATGGTACACTCCGCCCTTGAACTCATCCTGGCCTTGCAGTACAAAGTGCCATTCCTGCACGCAGGTGAGCGAGAGGCTGATGTGGGGCTGATCAAAGCTGGGGGGTCGCACCCGGCATGAACCTGATGAAGGACAGCCACTTGCAGGTCTGTCATGAACAGGCGGGGCACCGCCCCTCCTCACCAAGAGGCTACTGGGACTAGGGTGCGCCTCTATGCACGGCACGGGGTCCTGCGGACGTGAAACATGCTGTGTCTGCAGTAACATAGGGCCGAGAGGAGCCACGAGCAGGCTCGCGTCCCAGGCATGCTGTCGTAGGACTGGGAAAGATGCAGCAGGTCACCACCCCGCCCAATCAGCGCGTACCCGGACGATGGCCTTGTACTCCTTCTGTAGCCTTGTGGCACATGATTTGGAGATAGACATGTACAGGGAATCCCTGGTTGGCTCTGCAGGAGGGAAGATGTGACTCGGAGGGGCCACTCTTCCGCCAGGACCAGGAAATACCGCACGCGCAAAATACAATAAGCAGGCCCCAGCACCGCAGGGTGCACTTCAACAGCCGTATGTGAGCTGGACCTGATCTTCTTTGACCTGTGCCTGCTCTGCACAAGGCTTCAAGCTGGTGGGTGGTTCAGCTCGAGCCCAAAACCACGCCTTCTCGCGCCCTGGCTGCCCGTCCCGTCGCTGGGGTGACCCGGCAACGTGCAGGGCGCGAAGTGCATGGGAACATAGTGGCACGATGGCTGGAGTAGCAACGACTCAGGAGACGTTACTTTGGAACTCAGATACTATTAGATTGCATGCAGCGTCAATGCTGATCCCTCCAAACTGTAACTTGGCGTGTCGGTGAGGGAGTCAGCCCGCGGCCCTTGCTGCACACACATGGCGGAGAGAACACCTGATATGTAAACGCAACAGCCTGACATCTAATGAGTGCAAGAGGATTGAGCGAACCCCTGCTGCCTGTCGGCACGGTACGCAGGATTGGCAAGGTTGGGGGTTGAGAACCTGGCAGCGCGATTTCCGAGATGGGCCGATGAGGCTGGCGATGGGCTGTTGAGGCCCTTCACACTGCTCCTGGAACGCAACCCCCCAACAATTTGCCCACTCGACCCGCGTCCCACCCACCAGGGTCGCGCTGAGGGCCAGGAGATACCCCACACGCACGGAGAAGCATGGCAGGCAGCCACGCCGCCCAGCACCGTCTCAGACCTGTTCCTGTGCAGGAGACTCTGGCGCCTCGTCGTGCTGTTCAGACCCTGGCAAACCCTCTTCCTGGCTGGACTGTCCATCGCTGAGGCGCTCGTGGTTGCGCAGGGTGAGCCCCGAAATGCATGATACTTTGGGCAGACCCTGGACTCGAAGGCTTGGTCCTTGATCAGGTCTGGAGCTTACGTACAGCCATGCATGCCCTGATGACCCAGCAGTGCTTGGCACCTCGAAACGTGCCTTGCCCTCCCCCCCTTTGCCGCAGTGGGCAAGGTGGCCGGCAGCTACTACGCCATCCTGGTGGACTTTGACCCCGGCGCCTTCCTGGCCACCACGCTGCACTCTGCAGTCCTGTACGCCGCCTGCGCGGTGCTCTCCGGCGTGGGCACCGCGCTGCAGCGCCGGCTGGCGCTGAGCTGGCGCCAGCGCCTCACTGCGACGCTGCACGCCGCCTACTGCGCGGGCGCCGCCTTCGCGGGGCTGCGCCTGGACAACCCCGACCAGCGCGCCACGCGCGACGCGCGCGCGCTGTGCGACGACCTGGCCGCCGTCGCGCGCGTGGCGGTCAGCATCCCCTTCCGCGGCGCCTACTACGCCGCGCTGACCGCCGGGTACCTGGGTTGGCGCGGCCTGGCGGTGGCCGCCGCCTACTTCATCTGCGCCACCCTGCTGCAGTGGTGGGAGGGAAAGAGTGGGGGGGAAGTGATGGCGGTTGATGGGTCGGGTGGTCGTGTGATGGTGTGAAGGCTGTGCGAGGCTGAGCAGGCCCGTTGTCGGGAAATGGGCTGTGTGGAGGTGCCCGTCACTGTGTCACAGGGGGCTATCATCCGCTGATCACCAGTCCCAGCCTTGGTGATCAGATTCCCCTAGGACCGCAGATCATCTCATCAATCTCCCCCCACATCAAAAACAAATGAAGGTCTGTGGCGGTCCCCCTGGCGCGGCTGGTGTACGCGCAGGAAAGTGCGGAGGGCGACCTGCGCACCGCCCACGCCCGCCTGCGCGCGCTTCGCCACGACGCAGCCCTGGCCGGCCGCGGTGGCGACGGCCACTACGGCGCCGAGGCCGAGGCGCTGGGCGCCGCGGCGGCCGCCGCGCTGGGCGCGCAGGCGCGGCTGGCGCCGCGCCAGGCCGCGCTGGAGGTCAGCACCAAGGCCGTCGACTACGGCGGCGCGCTGCTGACCTACACCGCCGTGGCCGTGGCCGTGTTCTCTGGCACAGGGCCGCGTGGTGGGGACCCTGGCGACACCGCACGCTTCGTGTCCAACGCCGCCTTTGCCACCATGGCCCTGGTCTACACCTTCACCGAGCTGATGGACAAGCTTAACACGTACGCGCGCCTGCCTGGTGAGGAGGAGGGATGAGACTTTGTTTTGTGAGGGGGATTGGGGGGCGAGAAGAGGCGTCGAGGGGTGGCTCTTGATGGAGTGGAGGGGTTTGGCATCTGCCATGGGAACTGCTGAAGAGTGGGCAGCTGGCGGGCGGGCGGGAGGTGCACCGATCCATCACCTGTGTAAAACGCGTGGTCTGGAGAAGTGATCGGTGCATACAGCCATGGCAGGCAAATCCACTGCCATCCCTGTCGCCGTTCTTTCCTCAGGCCTGCTCGCGCGTGTGGGGGAGCTGCTGGAGGAGCTGGAGTCTGGCGCTCCGTCGATTGAGAGGAGTGACACGGCAGGCAGTCACAGCCAGCTGAGCCCTTGGAGGGTCTACGGCCCGGCCCCGGCCTCTCTCTCTCTCTCTGCGTGGGTAGGGGAGGCTCCCGCCAGGGATCCCGCTCTGCGCTTTGCATCGAGCTCGGAGCCCGAGGCCGAGCTGTCGGTGCACTGCCTGCCGCGCGGCAGCGCCATGCATGCCCGGGCGCGCGCCGTCTTCCCGCAGGCCCCCGACGTCGGGGCCCTGCTGGCCTGCCTCACCCTGCAGCCCATGGCGCACGAGTCCAGGGTGAGGTGGGGGCTGGAGGCGGGTCGGAGGTGGGGTCCCAGGGGAGCCCACGGGGAGGGAACCCGGCCTGACGATGGTAGAGTCGAGGATGGGGATGCGGGCACCATCCGCTGCTGCTGCCATGTACCCGCCTGGTGACTCTAACAGCTTGCCCCCCAAGACCCTCCTCCATACCCATCCCCACATGCCCACCCACCCCCCGCCCCATGACACCCGCCGCTAAGCCTCACACACTGCCAATACCCTTCCCCTGCACCTCACACCAGGACGGCTCCGAGCTGGACGCCGCCCTGGCCCGCTTCCTGGCCTGGGTCCACGCCGTGCACGTTGAGCTGGTGCCCCGGGGACGGTGGGTGGACGCGGTGGACCCCGCCACCGGCCGCGCCCTGCTGGGGCGACCGGGGTCGAAGCCGTGGGCCGAGGCGGAGGCCGCGCGCCACCTGCTGGGCTACGGCGTGGCGCAGGGCGTCTCCTCCTGCGCCTTGCTGGTGCACCCGCGCCTGGGTGAGAGGTGTTTTGTTCTTTCTTTCCGGTCCATGGGAGAGGGGAGGCAGGGGCTTGTCCTTGTGCAGAGGAGGAGCGGGCCCTGGCTGCGTTCTGCACCTCCTCCCGGTTGGGCGGGCGGATGAAGAGGGGCCCATGGCGGCAAAGCGCAAGCCCACATGGTCTCACGAGCGCGTCCCATGTGACGTCCCGCAACCCTCATTCCCTGGCTCTCCCCCCCCAGGGTCGAAGGTCTTCCCGGCCACGCTGCTGACCGACGCGCCCTGGGCCGAGTTGGAGCCGGCGCTGCGCCTGCTGCCGGCGCCCGGCGCCGCTTCCCCGCCACCCCTCCCCTCGCCACCGCCACCGCCGCTGCTGGAGCTGGAGGGCCTGAGCCTGCGCACGCCCGACGGGCGGTGGGCGGCGCGCGACCTGGCCCTGCGCCTGGCCCCCGGCCGCGGCGTGCTACTGGCTGGCCCCAACGGCGCTGGCAAGTCCACACTCCTGCGCGCGCTGGCGGGGCTGGCGCCGCTGGCCGCAGGGCGCGTCGCGTTTGAACCTGGCGCGCGCGTCGCCTGGCTGCCGCAGCGCCCGCTGGCCGCGCCGGGTGCCGCGCTGTGGCAGCATCTGGCCTACCCGGCGCGCGGCCCGCGCCCGACGGAGGCCGCCGCGGGCGCCGCGCTGGCGGCCGTCGGGCTGCGGCGACTCATGGCCCACCCCGGCTGCCTGGACGCGCCGCCGCCCGACGGCCTCTCCCCCGGCGAGCTCCAGCGCCTGGCCTTTGCCCGCCTGCTCCTCTGCCCGCCGGCCCTGGCGCTGCTGGACGAGCCCACCTCCGCGCTGGGCGCGGGAGCGGCGGCCGAGGCGTATGCCGCCCTCGCGGCCGCGGGCGTCACCTGCCTCAGCGTGGGCCAGGACGTGCCGCACCTCCGCGCCGCGCACGCCGCGGTGCTGAAGCTGGTGGGCGGGGATGGGGCCTGGACGCTGGAGGGCGGCGACGACGTGGCGCCGTGAGGCGCGGGGGCGTTTGGAGGAGCACGGGTCGAGGCGGCGGCGCGTGTCGACCGTGGCTCTCGCGCCTCCGATCGTGGGTGCACGGCAAACATTCTCAAAGCCAGGAGCGCACAGTGTTGCCGAGTGCGTGCATGAACTTTGTGAAGTCTTCACTGGTCCGCCTCACCCCATACCCCTTTCAGAGCTGTTCCAAAAGTACCCTGGATCTGACCACTTCTCGATTTTCCCGTGTCGTCCCATCCAGACCCTGCCGAGTGCACAGCCACGCCCAGCTCAGTTTTCACCCCCTCTGAGCCGGTCCACCTGCTCCGCAACACACACGCTCTGCCAACCTGTACAACAGTCAACCACAAACCTGCACAATGAAGCAACCGAGAATCATGTCCAACACCGGCTGCAGGGGCCGGCACACATTCGCCTGCATGGCACACCCACATGCCCAGAGGACTCCCAGATACCCCAGGTTCAGGGCCGCCGGGGCCTGGGGCCCAACCTCATGGCGGCGTCCAGGGCGGCGCGGTAGGTCCGCTCGTAGTACAGCTTGCGCGCGTGCCAGCCGCGCTCCCTCTGCGCCTTCGCACAGCAGTCGATCGCAGAGTCGACGCCGACCTGGGGCGCGGTTCGCGCCAGCTCCTGCAGGCTCTTGGTACGCGTCCCCCTCTTTGTCGCGGGGGCGGCGGCAACCTCCCCCTCCCTCCCCACCGCTCGCAGGGGCAGGGGCCCGACCCCGAGCGGGGCCCAGGCCTGCGCCGGGCCGCGCCGCAGCGCCAGCAGCAGGCTGGCGTCGCGGCGCGGCGCGGGCAGGGACCTGCCGGCGTCGCCCGCCGCCGGGCAC